AAAGACAAATTTACTATCACTTGCTTTACTATAGAAAAATTTATTATTCAAATCGAGTCAGGACTTCTGGGCCACCCTTTATGTTTGAAGCCCTAACAAAGCAAAACATACGAGGCTATCAACGAATCAACTTTCATTCAATCTGGATTATTCTAACTCATTTCATACTACATCATCCAACTATCTTTAGTATTAAAATAAAATTTTTTCCACCCGTGCTGACCTGATCCGAAAACTTTGTACTCGTACCCGACTTATGCCTAAAATTTTTCTCCTTTTCGTTTTCCAACTAAAAACTTTTGTTTTTCGACTGGAGATGTCAAATTATCATTACGTTCTCAAGTAACTGTTTTTTAAAAACTTCTTGTATTTTAGGTAAAATTTGTATTTTTCCACTAAAACCTTTCAGTTTTCGGGTAAATAAAAATAAAACGGAACCAGTATCTGATCCGTACCTGTAACTGCTCTAGTCTTATCAACCTTCGGGTTGGGTACAGGTTCGGATAGGATTGCACATCTTTATTGTGACCCCCTTCGGCCTTCCTACCTGTCGACACTTGTACACTAACAAGTCATGCACGCACATTTAAGTTGAAAAAATGTCTAAATTCGCATTTCGAAAAGCTCGCGGAAGAGTCGTGTGCCATCGAATTCACATAAATAAAAGGAAAAGAAAATAAGATCAATGAGCTAAGAATACTGTAACACATGATCTGGATCACTGTTTTGACGGAGATCACTATTTTCTACTCTCTGTCATTTTGTGCTTCCCGTCCTGTGATGTTTCTTTGATGTTAATTTGTATGTTACACATTTTATCAAAAAAGTGATCTCAATTAAGAAGCCTCAGCCCTTCAGACATATGATAACCGATTATCATATGGTTTTGTCGCCTCATTGATCTTTCTTTTTCTTTATAGAAATTCGATTTCATACATTGTATTTTACTGTGATTTCTTGAATTCTCTCTCTATGTGACAATATTTTTTCTTTCTCCACATTTATCTGCAATTTTTTCAACGAATGATATTTAATCTTGACAATAATATTCTTAAACATGGAGAACTAAATAATAAATAAATTTGAATAAGATCAAACTAATGAAGGTTTGTAGCAGTGTTTCCTTCCATACAAAGTATATAATTATTTACCGGGTGTATTCATTTCTTCCAAGAAAACAACTTTATAACCGGATAATTGTGCTCGATAACTTAAATCGAGATCTTCTGTTATTGTATCATCTTTCCAGCCACCAGCATCTATAATCGCTTTCTTTCGCCAAATACCTAATAAAAAGAAGTGATTTTTTTTTATTTTATTCAATTATTTTATTTCATTCTTACCAGCAGTACCATTAAATTGTAAAAAGACGTTTGAATAATAACGTCCAGCTTGTTCAATTGTAAAATGAACATTTACTAGAGGAAAAATATGTCGAATGTTGTGTTATATTGAAGAAACATAAAATTAGAGAATCTGCAAAATCACTCATTATTCTATTGATCTGCGAGAGGAAATTGAGAATATCATAGAATTTCCCATTTTATAGTTTCAATATAAAATAAACACTTACATGCCATTGCTTGTGCACGTGTTAAAATATTATAATTTGCATTTAAATGTTCCCAACGTGTTTGTACAACACCTACTTTTGATGATATGAAATATGGCATAGTACATTGAAGAAAATCCTTTTTTGGTACAAAATCAGCATCAAATATAGCTAAATATTGACCATTTGCATACTGAATAGCATTTTGTAATGCACCGGCTTTAAAACCATTACGATTTGTTCGCGATATTCGTCGAACTATTATACCATCAGCTTTATATTCTTTAATTTTTTCGTCAATTATTTGTCCCGTATCATCAGTAGAATCATCCAGTACATGTATTTCATAACGAGAAGGTGGATAATCAAAATTTGCACATGCATCAATTACTCGACCAGCAACATATCTAAAAATGAAATGAAATTAAAACGTTTTCTTCGTATTATTTTTTTCTACTATTTTTAAACTTATTCTGAAGTAAATGCAGACAATAGAAAAGATATTGGATACTCAGATCACAGTGATATAGCTATACTTTTCCCCTTTCTATACAGAGAGACATGAAATAGAGATAATTAGTTTTTAATAGCTAGCTGTACAGCATTTAGACTCAAGATAAATCATTTTTGATTAGATAAAAACGGTATTAAACAGATAGATAAATAAAATTTTTCGGGATGAATCTCCCAAAGTGTCAAATCTCTACACCACAAAACATGTAAATATAGATAGTTTATGGTGTTGATTACGAATAAGATAGTGGGAGTTTTTCATGGATCACTCGAGGATGACTGTCAGAAAATCAGTTCTTCGAGCACTACACTTTTTTGTTCAATAATAAATTTTGAGATTGTTAGTTTATAGAGCAACTCAAGTTACTTTTGTCAATAAATTCTTTTGAGTATTGGATGACTTTTGGCAATTATTTTAATCTTAGATCCTCTTGAGTCGATATGTTAGAGCAATGTTATTGAACATCGAAGTAACTATAGTCAGCACAGCAATAGCTTGTCGTACAAACTACATTAATTAATCTCATATCATGCCATATGTTTTGTTACGCTGACTATAGTTACCTCAGTGGAATACGTTGACTCGTCTTAAGGGTCCCCTTCTCAGAAATTCGATGTTTTCTTCGAAACTGAAGTAATCATACGGTTCAGTATCCCAAAATGTCATCGTTCAGAATTCACCTCAGTTTGCCAAAAAGTCAATGCTTTGGGAGGTTTTGAAAAGGTTTCTGAAAGCCCTAAAAATCACTTTTTCCTAAATTTTACATTTTAATTAACATTTTTAAGGTTATTCGCTTTAACAGACATGGAGCTATGTTGAGCAAAGTGTTCTGATCAGAATGAGATAGATGTACATGTACAGGGGGTTTGTACGATCTCGTCTTGCAGAGTTATACTAGTTTTGCTAAAGGCGCCGAACTATAATTAATGAAGTGATGACGTCATTGCTTAGAATATGGTTTTGGCGCAGTAAAGTTGTAATAACTCCTAAACGATTCGTCGTAAAATCTTCATTCTTTTTTTATTTTGAAGCTAAGATATTTATCTAAAGTTTGATCCGCGACGTTTTTTGTTTTCTGTGCAGAGATAAGTGGCAAATACTCCGTCGAATTAGAGTTATTTTCAGAGGTTGAATTCAATGAACGGAAGTGAAATTCAAAAATCACCGCGGATCAAATTTTAGATTTAAGTGTCTACTTTCATTTGAGATCTCTCACAGCGTTCTGCACCTTCCAACAAAAAAGCCATAACGCTTTTACTAATCATTTTGCCCCTTGTCACGCAATAACTTGGCAGCACTTCAACGTTTCGATCTCGAATTCTTAGCATAAGCTCGTAGGACAGTAAGCATTAGTCACTGGAAGCGCTATCGAAATCGGATCTATGATAAAAAAGTTTTTTACTAAGGGGGTCCCTTAACTGTCTTGATTTGGATAATTGTAGTTAAAATGTACATATCGAAGAATTAAGCTTATCTGTCTGTTTAATTATCCGTTCTGTTGGATTAAAAATGACTTTTAACTTGAATATAAATGTTACATAAAGTTCAGAAGATGGTCATACTTACCCCATATAATTTTCTATAGGGTCTATACCTGAAGCATATTGTGTATTCGGAGCAAGAATATTTTTGAGAGACAGTCTATTTTGTTTAATTGAAATATTTTAAAACTAAGAAGCGTGATAAACTCATATTTTCAAGAGTTGATTTGCTCTAGTTAGGCATGCACCAGTTAAAAACTGGTGTTAGGGCTTCCACGAAAATTGTCATAAGTCGCCTATAAAGAATCACTCAGAGTCACGAAACCTCTCATTTTTATAGAGAAATGTTTGGACTATAATCCCATATAAGTAGAAAAGTCTCACGGTATCTGTGATACAAATATGAGCATTCTAATATGCATTAAAGTTAGAAAAAAAACCTGTGTGAACAGTTTTTTTTCTAACTTTTGTACATTTTAGAATGCTCATATTTTTGCTAAAAATAACTTCAAAACTTTCCTTTACAGATAAATTTTCAAGAACAAACATTTTTCTACAAAATGAGAGATTTCGTGACTCTGAGTAATTCTTTATAGGTGACTTATGATCAGTTTTTAACTGATGCATGCCTACCTCTAATTCCACAACTCATGTTTGAATATCCAGGAAAATGGTTATAACTCGTTTATTAACCATTTACGACCGAATGTTCTTCCCAGGGGACATTACGATATTTAATTTAACGTGAATTATTTTTTTCAGAAGTTAGTTAAAAACATTTTGCTTTTTAATGAATAGTCTATGACACTACCTTTACCTGAAAAACTATTCGAATTTAGTTGTGGTATTTCACAACAGTTTTTACATCAATTATTGTGTTGTGCTCTAAAAACATATCCGGCCGTAAAGGGTTAAGGGCCGTCAGAATTATAGAATATCTCATTTTGTAGACAAATGTACGCTCTACAAAACTTATTATTCAAAACAGTTTCAAATTTAGTATTATTGAAAATATGATCTATCAAAAATAGCAGAACTGTTTTCTATTATCAGCAAATTTCTCTATAAGACGAGTATGATCTGCAATTCTGAACGATTCTTGATAACCGAGTTCGTACAGTTTCCCTGACGAGGGAACCGCCCCAGGTGTCCGGCTCCGATTTCGTTCGTTCATACATCATTCGATAGAGGACCTCGAGTAGGCAAAAAGGCTAAAAGGATTTGGGCGGAGGGCCCTTTAAGACCCGGTTTT